TGGGGGAGGTGTCCTTCAGTTGGAGAAAATAATTACACTATATGATATACTGAACCTTTGACAATAATAGTAATAGGCATTTGACAGATCTGATAAAGCAGGAACAAACAATTCTAAATAGTTCATAGAAAAATAAGCAAATGGAAAAAAAAGGCTATTATTAACTCTAGGGAAACAAAAAGCAGTATGAAAAATGTAATCCTCAGATAAGACTTCAAAAATATTTTAAACTTCAGCTCGTCAAAGGGCACCATTAAGAATGTAAAAAGGCAAGCCACTTTCTGGGAGAAAATATTTGTAAAACGTCTGTCTGACAAAGGACACATATCCTGAATACATAAAGAACTTCTAGAAACCAATAAGAAAATAAGCAACTCAAAAAAAAAACACATAGGCAAGAGACTTTGTCAGACACTTTGCAAAAGAAGATATCAAAATAACCAATAAATACATGAAAAGATGCTCATCAGGGGAATGATGGTAAAGGAATTAAAAACATATAAATATAAAACAGATGAACAGGAGAGGCACGAGGGATGACAATGTCCTATAACTTGATCTGAGCAGTAGCTATGCAGATATCCATACACACAAAAATTCACCAAGTTGAATACTTAAGATTTATGTACTTTAGTCAATAAAAATTACACTTTAATTTTTTTAAATATCATCCTTAGCGATCAGCAATTTTTGCTATAAATATTTTGGGGGATATAGAAGCAGAAGGGTGAATGCAAGAGAGCTAAATCTTTACCTATATTTACCAAACATGAAAAGATAGATCGAAAAGTAGTTTTGAGGGGAGGAGGATATAGCTCAAATGGTACAGTGCATGCCTAGCATTCACGAGGTCCTGCGTTCAATCCCCAGTATCTCCTCTAAATAATAAATAAGTAAAACCTAATTACCTCCCCCAATCAAAGAAAAGAAGAAGTAGTTTTAGGTATATTTTTGAGAGACATTATGGTTAATAACAGCTGCCTCTGGAGAAACAAGACTGGAGGCTGAGAAGAGCAGGGACAGGGGACTGCTATTTTTCATAATAAGCCTTTTACTAGTATTTGATTTTTAAAATCTGTGCATGTATTAATCTGATAGAAAATTTTATTGAATATTAAATTTTAAATTATTAACTATGTGATTATTTATGTAAACATGGAACAGAGAAGGCCATTTAAGTAAGCCTCAGTGGATGCCTTTTATTTGGCCAGCACAACACCCGTTCCCACCTCCACCATCAGTCCATATGGTCTGGGGAAATTTCTCCACCCCAGCTTCAGCAGAGGCCTGTGATTCAGGCCCAAGCCAACCCACGGTCCTGGCCCTTGGCCAGAGATTGTTTTTCTTCCAGGGGTAGGCACAAGCCCCCATCTGGGCCAATGAGGGCTGCACTGTGGAGTTCTCTGCAAATGGTGACATGCTCTTGGCTCAGCTGCTAGTGACCATCTTGCCACCAAAAGAGAAGAGCTTGCCCCAGAATGGGGCTGACAGGATGGGCAGCAGAGCCAAGAGCTGAGAAGACACCTGAGCCCTCATGTCTGGGGTTGGGCCCCTGGTTCCATGCAGGCCCACAGTTTATCCACCCCTGCCCTTTTCATAATTAGAAGAGGCAGTATCAGGTCATGAGGAAGCACTGGACTGCTTGGGTTCAAACTTCGGCTTTACTACGTACTGTGTGACCTTGGGCATGTCACTTAACATCTTCTTCATCTATAAAATAGGGGTAATAATAGTACTGGCCTCATAGAATGAAATGAGTTAACACATATAACACACACACATACAAATACTTATGTGTATATATATATATATATGAATGTATATGTTCATAGTTTAATTCAAATATATATACATATATTAAAATCGCATTTAAATATATTCTTGAAAGAACCATATTTTTATTTTCAATAATCAAATCCCTTTTTTGACTTAAGCCAGTGTGAACTGAGTCTTCTGGTAAGTGACAGGATCTGAACTCACTCAACAACCAACGGAGAAACCAGGTAAAACCAATCGATAGATTTAAGTGAATATATACATAACATAAACCTAATATAAACATGAATATGCCCTTTAGCAGAAAGAAACCCTCAAACAATTAAAAAGTAAACAGAAAAGGAAGGAATAATGTTTGTAACCTTTGGGATTGATGAAGTTTCTGCCCTTACAAATAGCAAGATGGAGATGCTACATAAAATGGGCAGAAATATAAACACACAATTTGCAGATGAAAAAAATAAGAGTGAAAAAAATAATGTTCGGTTTTTAAAAACCAAATCAGTGAAATAAATAGGAACTAATTTTTTTCCAATGATGTACCCCAAGAGTGTTTTAATTTTTATTAGCTGGTCTTGTCAAATGTTTCATGGACTGCTGGTGAGAATGTAAATTGATACAACCTTTCCAAAAGGCGGTCTAGCTCTAATTAAAATAAGCTTACCTTTGACACCATCATTCTTCTAGGAATTTATCTAAGGAGATACTTAAAAGTGTGGGGGAACATTTTCCCTGTAAGTTTTCTTACTGATTTGCAGTTATATTCAGAAACAGTGGGAACTGAATGTCCAAAAATCAGGGATTCATTAAAATCCAGACATTCCAATACTGTTCAGTCACTAAAAATGGTGATGGAAAATATGTACACGTAGTGAAGAATCTTCATGATTATTATATGAAATAAACAGGTTACAAAGCCACATAGGATAAGCCTGTTTTCATTGTATAAATATAAACATACACATAAGGAAACAAAATCTAGCAGGATACACATCAAATGACTGTGAAAGCTCTGGGTGGTAGAATTTATGAGGGTCCAAATTTGTGAGTGGGTTTTCCCCCCTTATATGTGTATTTCATTCTTTCTTCAATGAACCTTTACAGGCTTTCAATAATAATATTGTATTTTATAATAATAAATGTATTTTAGGTTCATAGAAAGCCATCAAGTTACCTCTACAAGTAGTTTCAGTCATGTGTTTGAAACCAAAATGCATGCACGCTGTTAGGTGGAGCACAGATGATGAGAAAGTCAAGGGAGCGGGCTCTCTTTTGAGAAAATTCGGTGGTAAAAACAAGGAACAAAGGGTCTCAAGAACATACGTGGCACAGAGTGACTGCAAGGGAGTGTCTGGAGAAGAGGAAGAGATGGAAGATGCAGAGAGAAAGAATCATCAGGAGAGATGTCTAAACCTGCAACAGCAACACACTGCTTTCCATCCTCCACCGGCTCCTGCCCGGGCTCGGCTGGGCTGCCTTACCTGGATTCTTCTGTGTCCTTTTCCCATAGTGCTGCGCAGGCTCAGGGAGGGCCCAGAACTCACCCAAGGGCAGAGCCCATGCTCTCAGCCTCTTGGTGTCTTAACCCCCTAAACTCGGCACAATAGACACTTTTCATCAGCAGCTTTCCCCAGGGAAGAAAATAGGACCCTTGAAGCCCTGTACAAGCCTCCCCCCGATGGCTGCTCCCACAGAAGAGTAACCACTATCCACAACTATTATCATAATACACCCTTGACCTTAATCATGAAAAAGTGAGTTTTCAACACTTCATAAGGGCTTGAATGCTCTGTAAGTCAGATTACATTTTCTTTTCATTTATTTTTGGCCTATTAACAGCTGGTGACCTAGATTAAGAAATAATTTAATATGTCAAAAGGCTGACTTTATCACTATATTCCTTCACAGATGGAAAGTGGATTCAATGAAAAGCCTCAGACTGAAGATTCAAGTAATTACTTGGAAAGAGGGGGAGGAATACCTACGAGTGGGTACTGTGAAGTATGGGAAAATGATGACAAAACCTGGCCAGGATCCCAGCAGACCCTGACTACTTTCTGGACAAGTAGCCAGGAACTGGAAGAGCAGCAGGAAGCCTTGCTAATTTAGCTGCTGAAGGAGCAACAGGGGGAGGATCACGTTGGTCCAGGATGAGCTTGGGTAGATATTAAAAGAAATACAATCCTCTTACTGCAGTGAGAGGATGCATGTGTGGTGGGAGGGACTAGAGGCAGTCACGGAGCCTCTGGCCATGGGGACAGGCAAAAGGATCAGTGCCCCCTTTTGCTCAGTTGCTCAGGGTCAGTGGGAACTGGGGGGCAGCCTGAGCCTGGGTCCAAAGAGGGAAATTCACTGTCACGGCGAGCAACGCGCCAAACTGACTTCCAGTAAAACAGGAAAATGCTTAACATCCAGAATTCTAGGGACAGCAAATACTTCCACGTGAAAAAGAACACAGTTCAACTGACACAAACCACAGGGCACATTAGCTGGTGTTCTTTTTCAAGTGCAATGCTTAAGCGACAGTATGAATGTCCTTTGCCCGGGACACAAATGAAGACCTCAGTGCTGGCAAGGTCTTGATGACAAGTATTTGTCAGGGAAGCCAGGCATGCCCATTGCCTGGTACAGCACCTCTCCAACCGCTCCAGGCTGTGTTTTTATGGACCTAGGATTCATTTGTGCCCACCTCTGGGAGAGAAAAATAAATGGCAGTGACCAATTTACTGAGGGGCTTGTAAAACACCAGGGAACACAATCCGTACAATATAATTCTTTTTAATGCAATAAAACACCCTCCTCTGTGCAGAAATGTGCAGAAAACTGTTAGGTTCAAGTCATATTTATCTTTGACCTTCCAGAGAAGGGCACTGGCGTCAAAAGGGACACACATACAGAGAGACCCCCCCTCAAATAAGACAGTGGAAAAAAGAGCGTGTATCTAGATTTCTGTTTTGAACTCCAGGATTCACTCCCCAGTACTGTATTAAAGCCGTTGGATTTTCTCCATCAGCCTTCTTGATCCAAAGAGATTTGTGGGGTAGCTTCTGTGCTAAATACTCTCATTTCTTGCTGCACCCAACGTAGCCAGGAAATCCCGCCCGGAGGAAGGAGAGCCGCCGCAACCTCCCGCCCGGACCCGCGGCCG